TCGACGATTTTCAAGCACCAAATCTTCGATTTTTTGGACGTGGCCCTCGTCGGTAGACGTTGATGGTCGTCCAGAGCGCGGTTCGTCTTCAACGCGTTCTCGGCCCGCTTTGAACTCGTTGTACCACTTATAAACGTTTTTTTGTGCCATCGTTTGATCACCAAAGGCCTTCCGCAACATTTTCAACGTGTCCGCACAAGAATATTCGTTCCGCAAACAAAATTTGATGCAAGTTCTTTGCTCAACAAAATCACCCATTGTAAAAATCGAGAAATTCACTTTTGGTCGTTTACTAAAACACGTGTAACTCGGAGATAATTAAACATTTTAACAAACAGACGCTTGGCAATTGTTATAGACAGTCCTACCAACCTAGGAAAAAAACAATTGCCTGCCTTCCTAATGTCCGGGAGTTTTAAATGACAATTTCACCTTACTTTTTGATCACAGTAGTACATAAATACCGAATCCAAAGTCCTGAAATTATTGTATTCCCAAATTGGATAACTACAAAGGTAGACGTATTCTATTCATATTCCATTCTCATGCTCGATTTGATCTCCGTTTAAGAAATGAATCCATAGAATGAGATATCGAATAGGGTTATGTCTAGCAACTGTATCGAATAGCAAATGCAGGATAATGAAATGAAAACTGAGAAGACGCCCTTTCAATTCTACTACTCGAACCCAGAAATTTCAATGAATAACTAGTACCGATCAAATGTTCGATTCTTCTATCTCTCGCGCGCGTTAAACGCACCGCAACGTTCGGGCGAATGTCCGCAGACACAAGTGCAAATATCGAAACTAAAAAATATTAGGCTGGGGAAAAAGAAATCTATTATTTTTGCGTGAAATTCAAGACTTTATTTAAGATGTTTCGGATTGTCCGATTTGGGTCAAATATGCACCGTTTTGTTGCATAATTTATTGCCATTTTAATGGTAGCATCATAATGCCTCTCTCATAGAAGTCTTGGTCCTTATTGGCGAAAAACTCTAATAATCGATTTTCACGATCTTCTTACTTAGGAAGTTTTGCAATGCGAGAAAAAGGTGGTAATCGCTTGGTGCCAGGTCCGGACTATATGGTGGATGCATTAAAACTTCCCAACCAAGCTCCCGGAGTTTCTGACAAGTCACTACAGACGTGTGTGGCCTTGCGTTGTCCTGATGGAATACAACACCTCCTCTGTTGGCCAATTCTGACCGTTTCTGGTCAATCGCTAGCTTCAAACGGTCTAGTTGTTGACAGTAGAGATCTGAATTTAGTGTTTGGCTATACGGAAGCAACTCATAATAAATGATTCCTTTCAAGTCCCACCAAATACACAGTAGAACCTTCCTGGCCGTTAGTCCTGGTTTGGCCACCGTTTGAGCTGCTTCACCACGCTTTAACCACGATCGTTTTCGCACAATATTGTCGTATGTGATCCATTTCTCATCCCCAGTCACCATCCGATTAAGAAATGGGTCGATTTCATTACGTTTGGCCAAGGCTTCGCAGATGGAAATTCGATCCATCATGTTTTTTGGTGTTAATTGGCGTGGCACCCAAACATCGAGCCTCTTTTTGAATCCAGCTTTGCGCAAATGGTTTAACCCTTTCGCTACTAC